GGTCGGGGTCGCGGCCGGGGCCCGGCTCCCCCCCCCCCCCCCCCCCGCTGTTACCTGCGAGCGAGCGAACGGCGCCCAGCCCCGCCTCACCTGGCCCAGGTGAGCCACGTGACCCGGCCCGACGGGCCGCCGCGAGGGACAGCAGAGCGCGGACGGCGAAGCCGACCCGGTCCGCGCAGCAAGGGGCTCCAGCGGTGGGACCACGGTCCCCACGGAGCCCTGTCCCCATAGAGTCCTGTCCCCATAGAGCCCTGTCCCCATAGAGCCCTGTCCCCATAAAGTCCTGTCCCCATAAAGCCCTGTCCCCACGGAGCCCTGTCCCCATAAAGTCCTGTCCCCATAGAGCCCTGTCCCCACGGAGCCCTGTCCCCATAAAGTCCTGTCCCCATAGAGTCCTGTCCCCATAGAGTCCTGTCCCCATAAAGTCCTGTCCCCACGGAGCCCTGTCCCCATAAAGTCCTGTCCCCATAGAGTCCTGTCCCCATAGAGTCCTGTCCCCATAAAGTCCTGTCCCCACGGAGCCCTGTCCCCATAAAGTCCTGTCCCCATAGAGTCCTGTCCCCATAGAGTCCTGTCCCCATAAAGTCCTGTCCCCATAGAGTCCTGTCCCCATAGAGTCCTGTCCCCATAAAGTCCTGTCCGCATAGAGCCCTGTCCCCATAGAGCCCTGTTCCCATAGAGCCCTGTTCCCATAGAGCTCTGTTCCCATAGAGCTCTGTCCCCATAAAGTCCTGTCCCCATAGATCCATGTCCCTGTAGAGCCCTGTCCCCACGGAGCCCTGTCCCCACGGAGCCCTGTCACCGTGGACTCTGTCTCAAAGCATCCCACTGCCCAAGGATCCTCATCCTCAACTGTCTGTGTCCCAAACGGTCCCCTTGTCCGAGGGTCCTCATCCCCCAGGATCCCTTGGATCGCCTTCCCCAAGGATTCCTGTTCCCAAGGTCTCCATCCTTAAAGACTTCATCCCCAAGGGTCTCACTCCCCAAGGATGCCTGGGAAAGATTCCTGTCCCAATGGATTGTCACCACCAAGGATCCTATCCCAAAGAACACTTGTCCCTGAGGATCTTGTCCCAAAGGATCCCTGTCCCCAAGGGTCCCAATCCCCAGGATCCCCCCCACTCTGCCCTGCATTGTTCCTCAGCATTTTAACTCCCTCCCTGTGTTGCCTGCACCAGGCAGCACATCCCTGCCAAGGGATACGCAGTGACAGGCATGGGGTGGCCACATCCCTCCCCCAGTGTCCCATGGGACCTCTGCCCTATGGAGAGCATCTCACCTGTGCCTCCCTGGGTGCTGCCTGCAGGTTTGGGTGCCTCTCTGGAGCATGTCCATCCCAGATGAACCTTCATCCAGGACATGCTCAAGTGCATTGACACCCCTAAAGCCTTTGGGCCACCCCTCCTGCCCCCCCCCCAGCCTTGCTCTCCAGCCTGGCCACAGCCATGGAGGGGCCTGCACCCCTCATCTGGGGTGATTTCATCCTCCATGCTCAGCAACCTGCAAAGCAACATCAACCATCCCTTCTCCTGCTGGGAGAAGTTCCCCTGAGGACAGCAGTGGCATAAGGGATGTACAAGCTGCAGTGATGCCCAGTGCTCCCCGGGAGCTCAGCCCGTCCTGTTTGCTGCCGCTTGGTGACTCAGTGGTTCTCACCACAGAGCTGATGACTCACTCTTGGAGGGGGTCGGATCCTTCCCTGAAGGGTTGGAGGAAAGGAAGGAAACCAGGAGGGGAAGCAGGCAGGGAAGGAGCCTGGAAGAACGCAGCTCAGCACGGAGGCTGCAGCCGGAGCAGAGGCGCTGGGCTCAGAAGCATCAGCCAGTTTCCAAGAGGAAAGAGGAGAGAGAGAAATCTGTTTGAGGGATGGTGCCAGTGCCAAGCAGCTCGTTCCTTCTCTGAACGGCAGGAAGACCACATTTATGTACTTAAGCCTCTGGCACAGGAGCACTGTACTTACATGCAGCTGGTGTCATTTCCATGGCCAGGCTTTCATGTGTACAACTCAAAGCACTGCTTGGAAATCCATCATCTCCTCTGCCAGGTGCCTTGAGCACAGATCCCAGCCATGAAACCTCTCCCGGTGCTGCCCCATAGCACTTGGCACATCCAGGATGAGCTGGGCAGCACAACGTGTCCCCCTGAGCCCAGCACCATGCTGCTTAATGCCCCTCAGCTCCTGTGTCACCTCCCAGCTGAGCTGCTGCTGCGTTCCAGAGCACACTGCTGGGACCAGGATGGAGCTGGATCAACTCAGAAGTCCTGGGGCTTAAACCTGAAAACCTGATGCAGGATTCCTTCCCTTAAACTGGGCCAGGATGAGAGAGCAGTGCCTGGATCCCCCCTGCCTGGGAACTGGGACACCTGAGGGAAAGCTTGCAGAGACACTGGGAGAGATGGCACTAACATTAACGATTTACTGCCTTTAATAAGGCTTTGCTTTTCTGGAGCAGATCCCAATGCAGGGTTTTAAAGAGGCCCAAAATCAGATGCTATTGCACAGCCCTCAACTACATCCTCCTGCAGGGCTGCCCTAACCTGAGGCAGAGCACAACCAATGAGGGGCTGGCTCCACATCCCTGGGGAATTCGTAGAATGGTTTGGGTTGGAAGGGACCTTAAAGCTCATCCAGTTCCAACCCCTTGCCACGGGCAGGGACCCCTTCCACTAGGGCAGCTTGCTCCAAGCCCTGTGTCCAACCTGGCCTTGAACACTGCCAGGGATGGGGCAGCCACAGCTTCTCTGGGCACCCTGTGCCAGCGCCTCAGCACCCTCACAGGGAAGAGCTTCTGCCTAAGAGCTCATCTCAGTCTCCCCTCTGGCAGGTTAAAGCCATTCCCCTTGGCCTGTCCCTCCATCCCTTGCCCAAAGCCCCTCTCCAGCTTTCCTGCAGCCCCTTTAGGCACCGGAGCTGCTCTCAGGTCTCCCCTTCAGGAGCCTTCTCTTCTCCAGGCTGCCCCAGCCCAGCTCTCTCAGCCTGGCTCCAGAGCAGAGCTGCTCCAGCCCTCACAGCATCCCCGTGGCCTCCTCTGGATTCATTTGCTTCTCCTCAGGGCTTCAAGTCCTTCTCCTCATGGACCCCAGAGGAACGGCAACTGGTGCTGGGCTGGCTGTGGGGTGCAGCTTGGTGCCCCATCCCTGTTGTCAGTGCCTCCACATGCAGCTGCAGGGAGCGCAGGGTCGCTGCTAGGGGAGAGAGAACAATGCTCTCAACCGAGCTTTGCATCAAAGAGGTTTATTCTGAGCACTGCTAATTTCAGACTCCGTTGCTAAATCATTAATAGCTCGTCAGCTCAGGCAGCAGCACGGGAAGGACTTGGGTTGTGACTTACTCTGGAGGGCACGGGCATTTCTCTATGATTTGCCTTTACTGGCTTCTTGTCTGTTCATGGAGCAGGATGTGCTATTGACAGCCTGGAGACACAGTCGTTGTGGGGGCCTCAGCAACACCCCAGCCTTCCTGCCCAGTATCCCCAGCCCATCTGGCCTCGTCTGATCTCTGAAATTCATTCCCAGGCATAACTGCTCCCTATCACCATTTCCTTTTCTCACTCTGGACCAGGGACAGGAGCTGGGAAGGTGATGAGGTCCCTCCAAGCTCAGCGATTCTCAGATTTCGCTTTGGGGGAGTGGGAGAAGTTCACTGCAAGACAGACCCCAGCCCTTTCCCCCCTTGGGATGCTCTTGGGGGTCCGGGTTCTACTGAAACAGAGGAGAAAATCAGAGAGGAGAATGTTCTCTTTAGTACCTGCCTGTCCCCACAGTTTCTTCGGGTTGGAGGCAGGGGGAGCAAGAGCAGAGCTTTGATCCTGAACCTATGATGATGCAGCATCAAACCTCACTTTATAGCATTGGATACATGAAGATGGTTCAGCCTGGACTTCAGCTTTCTTACAGCCTGAAGTGCAGCCTGAACAGCAAATGTCATGGCCGTGGAGCAGGGGAGATGCGGTGGGAGGTGGTGGACAAGCAGGGAAGGGACAAGCTGGCAGCGGGGGCCGGGAGCAGTGACGCAGCAGCCTCTGACGCTGCTCCGGTGTCTGGCAGACGTGTGGCAGCGCTGGCAAGAGCACGAATGCAACACAAAGCACAAGGGATGTTTTTTTTTCCCCCCTCATAAGGTAAGGGAAACAAAGCTGCCATCAGTCCACGTGGGATGGAGGTGTTCATCCATCGCAGGCCTGGACATGGCTCTGCCAGGAACAGCTTTAGGCTGGGGTGGGTTTTTTGCTTTTCCTTCTGTCTGGGGGTGGGATGAGACTTTGGCACCTGGTTCCCATCATCTCTTTTATCCTCTCTGCCGCTCTGATGCGGGTACAAGCAGACGTTACCCCACGCACCTATGTGAATACGCAGCCACTGAGCGTGACATCCCCACAGGAGGAACCCTGAAAACCAGGCTCCTCAGGGAAGCAAAGTGGCAGCAGCACTCTCCTGCTGCACCTCCCTCCCACTCTCAGCTCTATTAACCCTGTCTTAAATGATAGACATCGGCAACGGCGTTGCTGTGACAGCCATGCAACCAAGGACATGCTGTCCTGGTGCTACGTCTCCTGAGCCTCAAGCACTGGGACATCCCAGCCACAGCTGGGGAGGGGACAGGGGCTGCCCTTGCATCCCCCAGCCAGCACAAGGAGCTTCTTCAGCTGCTTCTCCCAGGGGCTGCAGGCTTGAAACCAGTAACTCATCCCAGTCCAGCCTCTCTCCCAACCTTTCCCAGTAAATCTCTCCAGTATCCCTTCCTCGCCCAGCCTTTCCCACTAAGCCTCTCCAGCTTAAGCCTTCCCAGCCCTGCCTTTCCCAGTGACCCCCCAATAACCCTCTCAGCCTTTCCCAGTGATGCCCCTAAGGGAGGGCAGTTTCCTGGGGCCACCGGGATGGTCCTATACAAGGCTATACTGAGCCTAGTGCTGCGATGGTGTCAATACCCGAGCTGTGCCATACCGGGCTATACCGAGCTCAGGGCCGGTGCTGTACTGAGTCATACCGAGCCCGAATCCATGATGGTGCTGGTTCTGGTGTTGTATTGGGCCGCAAGAAGCCCGCAGCCATGCCACTGCCAGTCCGTACCGACGGCGCTCCAGTTCTGTACTGAGCCATATAGAGCCCAGGGCCGTGATGGTGCCAGTACCGTGCCGTTGTACGAGCTGTACCGAGAACAGGCCCGTGACAGTGCCAGTACCGTACCGAGCCATACCCAGTCCGGTGCCGTGCCAGGCCATGCGTATCCCGAGCATCCCCTGTACCGAACCGCACCGGCTCGGGGTCGTGTCCCCGTCGTCCCCCCCTTCCCGTGCCGGTGCCAGAGCCGCCCCGTTGGGGCCGAGCCGCCCGTAGCCGGCGCCGCCCCCGGGTATATATCATCACCGCGGCGCTGCCCTTCTCCCCATCCCGTTCCCATGGCGGCGGCGGCAGCGGCGGAGCAGAGCCCGGGGCCGGCTGCGAGTCCGACTGCGGGCAGCGAGCAGCGCCCCGACCGCGGCGGTACCGGCGGCAGCAGCAGCAGTACCACCACCGGCAGCAGCAGCAGTACCACCACGGGCAGCAGCAGCAGTACCACCACGGGCAGCAGCAGCAGTACCACCACGGGCAGCAGCAGCAGTACCACCACGGGCAGCAGCAGCAGTACCACCACCGGCAGCAGCAGCAGTACCACCACCACCACCACCGGCAGCAGCAGCAGCAGCAAGAGCAGCCCCGGGTCGGTGGAGCTGGCGGCGGCGCGGCGGCGGCTGGTGGCGGCGGAGGGACGGCGGCGGGCGGCGGCGGAGCTGGAGGGCCGGGTGCTGCAGGTGCACTGCGCCCTGCGGCACGCGGAGCTGCGCCTGGCCGCCCGCGCGGAGGCTCTGGGCCGGCTCGGAGCCGGCGTGGCCCAGGCTCAGCTGGCTCTGGCTGCGCACACGCAGCGCCTGCAGAAGGGGCTCCGCCGCCGACCCCGGCCCCGGCCCGGTGCGCTCCTGGCGGCCGCCCGCGCCCTCCGCAGCTGCGTGCCCTGGGCCCCCGCCCGCGCCCGCGGGGCCGCCGCTCCGCCCGCTGCCGCCCGCCGCCTGCCCGCCGCGCCCCGCAGCCCCGCCTAGGGGACAGGGGTGCTCTGGGGGGGGGGGGGGGGGGCACCCAGAGGGTCCTTTAGAGAGGCGTAGGGAGTGCGATGAGTTGGGGACCTCCGGGTTTGGGGCGTCCCAGGGGGAGCCCAGCGGGGTCTGGGCTGCTTTAGAGGACCCTGGGCAGTCTGATGACGCAGGGACCTCTGGGGTTGGGGGATCTCAGGGGGACCCTACAGGATCTGGGGGACGCCGGGGGGTGTGGGAACCCAGCGGGGTCTGGGCAATCTGATGGGCTGGGACCCAATGGGTTTGGGGGTCCCAGGGGGATCCTGCAGGATGGAGGGGTATGGGGAACCCAGCAGGGTCTGGGCAATCTGATGGGCTGGGACCCAATGGGTTTGGGGGTCCCAGGGGGATCCTGCAGGATGGAGGGGTATGGGGGACCCAGCAGGGTCTGGGGTCCTTTAGGGGGTCTTGGGGAATCTGATGAGTTGGGGACCTCTGGGTTTTGGGGGTCCGGGGGGACCCAGCAGGGTCTGGGAAATCTGACGGGCTGGGACCCAATGGGTTTGGGGGTCTCAGCAGGGTCAGGGGACCTCAGCAATGTCCTGAGGTGTCTGATGCGGGGAGACCCTGGGGGGTGTGGGGTTCCTTAAGGGACCCCATGTGATTGAGGCACTCCAGGGGACCCAGCAGGGTCTGGGGACTTTGGGGTGCCCTGATGAATCTGGGGGGTGTTGTTGCTGGGGGTTTCGTGTGCTTGAAGGGTCCTGCAGGGTCAGGGGTCCAGGGGTGTGCAATGAGCTGGGAGGTCGTGGGGGACACTGAGGTTGAGGGACCCAGCAGGGTCTGGGGTCCCTGGAGGATCTTTCCAGGTCTGGGGGTGTTTGTAGGGGAATCTGCTGTCAGCAGCCCCAGCCCAGCCTGGGGTCACCTCCCTCCCGAAGGCAGCAGGTTCAGGGCAGCCTCCATGGGGCAGGGCCCCTTCCCCGTCCAAGCCTCGCTGCCAGGAGGGGTCGCCAGGATGCTGTGGCAGCAGGACACTGGTGGGACTGTGCCTCACGCTGGGACTTGGGTGCAGCCTTCATGTGCCCCTGTGCAGACTTCCATGGGGGAATCACGCAGGCTTGGAGTCATCCCGCTTTCACCGTCCCTGGACACTGATGCTGGCTCCAGACTGCACCCTTCTTGGGGCAGACAACAGAAGGGGACTGGTCCTCATGATGGCACCAGCACCGTCTGCCTCCCACCAAGCTGGATTTTTGGGGCTGCTTTGACAACCGATCCAGCCGGTGATGCTTGAAGCCTCCCCGTGCTTCCAGCAAGAGTCCTTGGGCACCTTCAATGTCACACTCCAGCGGAGCCTGTCACTGTCGGCTCCAGAGGGCTATGAAGGCATGACGAGGTGGACTCAGGATGAAGCATCCCCCTCCGGGCAGAAGGCTTGTGTGGGGTCCTGGCATTGCTGTCCCCATCGCTGTCCCACCAGCCCTGAGCCGGCCTCAGGATGGAGAGCTCAGACCTGACAGCATCTTCCTGACTGGGAACTGCAGTGGTTCAGCTGGCAAAGGCCTCTATGAGCCTGCTCCTCACCGAACGCAGCCGCAGCGTTCACCCTGCCAGGGCTAGCAGCATCCCTCAGCCGAGCCACCAGAACGGGATCTCGCTTTGCTGCGCTGAGCTTCCGCAGTGACTTTTCCCTGGAGGCTGCATGAATCCCTCCCTCCTGCTGCAAAACCATAACTCACCCCCCCCTTATTTATTTATAATGGAAAACCCCACTGGATTCGGGCTGGGGTTGGGGGGATTTCACTGACTCATGAATGTTCTGCCACTACCTTGGTGGGAGACAGCAGGTCTGTTGTGCTGATCCTCGCTTCTCGCCTCTTGTGCCCACTGGTGCTGCTGCTGTGCCTGCACCGCGCTGCCTGTGCCCAAGTCAACTTTGAGAGCTGGTTTATTCACTACACGCAGTGTCCTTAGGTGCTGCCTGAAATACAACAGAGAGGGTGATTAGAATGGGGCTTAGCCAATAAGCCCTGGTAATATCGTGTAATTAATACCGGAGTGGATTTCTCTGATTATCAACCTGTTCCCTCTTTCCAGGGACGTGGAAAGTGCATTGGGAGCTGCCTGCAGCAGTGTGCCAGACACACACAATAAAGTCCAACTTGCACATTTCTCTCTGGCAGAGAAATATTTCAGTTACCAGCATGACTTCACTTATTAATTCCTGCTTTCAAACAGTTATTCTGGGGTTCGTGCTACCCGATGTGGAGTTCATGGATGCTCAGACAGCCCTGTATCTCCTTGATGCTCCCTAATTTCTGCCCTTTCACTAAGTTGCTGCCTGCTGGGGGTTTTCCCATGCGTGCACAGCCCTAATCCCAACCAGGAGGTGATTCCCAAGCCGGGTGGGGAGTTTGCTGCTAATAGCAGCTTACAGGTCTCAGCCAGGACAAGGGACACATTATCTCTCACAGGCTTTCAATTAATAGTATAAAATGCACAGCTTGGGTTTAAATCCCTCGATTTCCCCCCCCCTTTCCTGGTGATTATTTGCAAATCAGCTTTTGACCTGATTAGAGCAGAAACTGCAGGGAAAGACCTTAAAACAAGTCATAATCAACTCCATTAAACCGGTAAGACCAAAATGATTCAGGATACTCCAATGCAACGGCTCCTCCCCACCCTTTGGTCTCAGTCTCATCACGCTTTGTGTTCCTGCAGGATCTTTAGCTGGAACACAACATTCGTGACAATTCACATGCTTGTTCCCCTTTTTCCTGCCCGATGGGGAAGGCTGATGCAGTTGGTGGAAGAGCAAGGGCGAGATCCCAGGTCTCAGAGCTCCACCCTGCAGATGAGTGCACACTGAGCTGCAATCAGGATACTCCTTGTGCCCAGGGAACATCACACTCTGGATGGGGGAAAGGCAGTTGGGGTCCCCTCCATCAACCAGGGTGGGAGACACCCCCCTCTTGAGCAGGAAGAGCAGTGAGAGCAGTTAAACTGTGCAAAGGGAGGGTGCATCTGAGGCCTGAGGAATAAGAGCAGCTCCTGAGACTGGGCTGGGATGAGAAGTGGTGCCTGTTTCAGGAGAAAGAATTAAGAAGGAGAATAAAAGCTGGTCCCCGAGTCCTGTGCCATGGTGGCTGCTCATGGCCAGGGTAACACACTTGTGGGGCTGCCTCTGCTGGGTGTGAGAATCCATCCATCCATCCATCCATCCATCCATCCATCCATCCATCCATCCATCCATCCATCCATCCATCCCCTCCTGCATCCTCACAAACCCCTGTGCTGTGGTTTTGGGCAATGTCCCTGCAGGGAACGTGTCACCTGGTGGCTCCTGTGGCAGCTCCTACAGGATGCTCCCACTCCCCAGCGCTGCTCTGCCGCGTGCAGTGAGCCCATCCCCGTGCCCCGGGCTGCAGATGTGGCAGTGCTGGTACCCACACTTCCAGATTCAAACCGGATGGACAAGGCTGGTCCAGCCACCAGCCAGGACCCTTTGCAACACCAGCTGTGCATCCTGCTTTAGTTTGGTGGGCCCCACTGTGCCCCACACAGCACAGGAGCCCTGTGTCAGCCCCAGAAAGCTCCAGTGAGTGCTGTCACCAGGCTGCTCACACACTACGGGGCCAGCAGCAAAGTCCTGCTGGAGGGTCCTTGACCTATTTCAGGCACGGATATGGGGGAGAAAACCCACCCCAAATTCCAGCACAAGCTCAGAGGGAAGTTGCAGAGGAAAAGCCTCATCCTTTGGTGCCTTCGGGAGCATCCCATGCCCCAGGAGCACAGGGCTTTACGTAAACCCACTTGCATTTGTGCCCTCCAGCCAGCAATGACATTACATAAATAGCACCAAGACTTGTTGGGTTTATGGGATTATTTTGTTACAGACTTTCTGGGAAAAGTGATGTTGCACGTTAATACCTAAGCCCAGCTTCTCTCCTTTCCACCATTAATTCCTTCAGGCTATTCCAGATGAATCCTATTGGTGTGAGGTGAGTGCCTGGGGCACAGGCAGGGACAGAAACTCCCCAGAGCTGAAATGCCTCTGAGTGATGGAGTGGGGGCATAGAATGATCCAGCTTATCCAGCTCCAACCCCTTGCCACGGGCAGGGACACCTTCCACTAGAGCAGCTTGCTCCAAGCCCCTGTGTCCAACCTGGCCTTGAGCACTGCCAGGGATGGGGCAGCCACAGCTTCTCTGGGCACCCTGTGCCAGCGCCTCAGCACCCTCCCAGGGAAGAATTCTGGGGTGAGGGTGATGGAGGGAGGACAGGGACAGGGTGAGCGGGATGGGGGAATGGGAGGAAGGGATGGGGTGACGGAGAGGGTCAGAAGGGGGTGGTGCCAGAGCCCTGGGGATGGCAAGGACAGCGCTACCTCCCGAGGAAGGTCCCAAGCCGGCTCCCCGGAGGGGACCGCCGGCCTTTCCTGGTCGGTGCCGCAAGAGGGCGCTGCCTTCCGCGACCCTGAATGGCTCCGTTCTGGAGCGGATCCAACCTCCCCTGTGGCTCCGTGGCCACGCTCAGCATCCCTCCGTGAGTACCTGGGGGATGCTGATGTCCTGGCTGCATAACTCAGCACCTCAGACATGCAAGACCTCACGCCTTCCGGGCCGGGCCCTTTAAGAAAATGCTGCTTTCACTTTTGGTTCTAGCTATCAGTTTAGTTCGCTTTCAGTCCCCCCTCCCCACCGTGTCTTGCAATGGACGGGGAGATCTTCCACTTCAGGAAATGGACAAATTGGATCTTTTGGTACCAGAATCGCTGTTTTGAATTTCAGGACACGTGGCTTAACTATTACTGGTAAATGACCAGCCAGGCAGGTCCCACCAAAGGGGACGTTACTTCTTGCTTGGGTCTTGTGGTTGCAAAGCCTCCAGAGCAGCCAGGCAGACATCTTGCATGATAACAGGGGTTTTAACAGGCACCTGCAGGTTGGTTTTGTTCATAGCTTTTGACACCAGGCGGCAGATGGAGGTGGGGAAGCTCTGACAACGCTTCCCACAGATCCCATCGCTTGCATGAATGTGGGGTTGGAGCTGAGCAGGGAGGGAGGTGGTGGGGAAAGCTGGGGGCCATGGGGCACTCGGGTCCCTTTTACCCTCCCCATCTCTCTGTGGCCATCAGAAGAGCAAAGAACGTGTTCAAAACCCCACCCAGCAACAGCCTGCACTTCTGTAGGCAGCAATGGCTTCGCTTCCGGAGCTTCTTCACTCTCCCCTTTGCTCTGCAGGGACAAAGATGACATCGGCAAGCTTATCCGTGGCAGCATCAATCTCAGCAGCGCCACAGCACAGAGAATCGACTCGAAGACCCTGTGTTTGTTTAACGATAAGGTGACGTACTACCTCAAGGCAGACAGTATAAAGGACATGGAGGACTTCATCGGTAGACTGACGGAGTTAAATGTCTCTGTGACTGGCAACTAGAGGAGCAGATCCTTGCGCTGAGCAGTGTACTAAGTGCTTTGTTCATTGGGAAAGTGAGGCTTGCATTCCAAAGGCTGTTTTCACTCAGAACCGCTGATTCCTCAAAGCATGGAAATGCCCAAATGTTTGAAACGGTTTCTTATTGCATAGCTGAGAAGCAAAATTTACCCATCTCCTGCTGCTTACTTGTAAGATAGAAACGGGGGGACATCAGGTGTGTAGGGAAATGGAGGATGTGCAATGCAGGAGAAGGAGCAGAAGTCTTCAGCTTAGAAAATACAACGTTCTTTGCAATGCTGATGCGAGCATTACCTTTGGAGAAGCTGCATTTGGTAATTACTGATAAATGGGAATGAATATTGGCTTCAGCTCGCACAATGCATAGGCATGGCAAAATGCAAACTGGTTACCACTGGATTCTGAATGCTTTGTAATATCAGTTTTTCACACTACAACATTATGCGAATATTGGTGATTGGTGATGTATCTCTCAATCTCTGTTCTCTCTATGCAGTAATGATGTGATAAATTGCTATTTTTTCTCTTCACTTTACTTATATATATATAGAACTGATTTGCTTTATTGTACTTATTTACTATATATAAAGTGATATATACCTGATTTGTGCCAGTGAGCTTATTTGCTTTAGTGTGCTTGGTTTAGTAAACTGTTCATGTTATACAGCCAGTGTGTGATCCTTGTGTGGTGTAGCCTGCCTGACAGCAGAACGGGTTGATGGAGGAGGTTTTGGGCACCGACATACTTCCCCTTGTGTATGTTCCACTTCAGGCTCCTGGTTTCCCCATTTCCATTTACCCAGGGACCTTCTTGTGTCCGTTCTTATCTCAGCGAGCAGTGGAAATAACACTCACTAAGCAGGCATGTGAACCTGCTCAGTGGTGGTTCCACTAACACCAAGGTAGAAATCAGACATGAACCCACCTGTAGCGCGGAGTTTTATGGATTAGCTGGAGAATAAGGCCGTTGTGAAACATAACATCACAGTAAGACACATTTAATGGGATGCATCAAAGCCTGTTCTAATTCAATTGTATTTTAGCCCAGTGGCAATACGTAGTTGAGGGAAAACCATGTGCTGCATTAGGGATGTTTCCTCCTCCAGGTCTGGGAACTCACCTGAGCATGGTTTTGGCTCCTTTTGCACCCATGGGTGTTTTCATCTTCCTCCCCATCCCCGCTCCAGAGTGGGCACCCTTGTGCTTCAAGCTCCAGTTCGGATGTGCTGAGAAACACCGATAAATCCCCTCTTTTCTCTTCGGTCACCCCAGGCCTGCACAGATCCCCCCTTGACATCCTCCCTTTGACACCTAAAACCCCATGTGCGTTCTGTATGTTCGCACAGTGCTCTGAGGCTCCCCAGTAACCGGCTCCCAAAGTGCAGACATCCAGCCCCTGCTCCTAAGCCTGAGGTGCCGGGACAGAAAGCTGGTGCTAGGCATCACCTACACATGGGGAGCTCCGCAACAGTGCCACCAACACGGCAACCCACCCTCACTTTGCCATCTAAAACCCCATCTGTGCCACCACATCCCTTTCTGGGAGGGCCCTTTAAGAAAATACTGCTTTCACTTTCGGTTTCTGCTTTTGTTTTCTGTCCTCTTCGGGTCACTTTCAGGCTTCTTTCAGTCCTCCCTGTCTCGCAATGGACGTGCAGATCTTCCACTTCAAGAAATGGATCAGTTGGATATCTTGGTATGAGTATCGCTGCTTTGAAATCCAGGACACGTGGCTTCAGTGTTACCGGTGAGTCCCCGGCCAGGCAGGTCCCACCAAAGGGGACGTTGTTTGTCACTTGGCTCTTGTGATTGCAAAGGCCGCGGAGCAGCCACCTTGGATGCTAACAGGGGTTTTAACGGGTTGGTTCTGGCACCGGGGGCAGATGGAGGTGGGGAAGCTCCGGTGCTGCTCCTCACGAGGCTTCCCACAGATCCCATCGGTTGCACGAATGTGGGGATGGAGCTGAGCAGGGAAGGAGGTGGTGGGGAAAGCTGGGGGCCACGGGACAGTCGGGTCCCTTTTACCCTCCCCACCTCTCTGTGGCCATCAGGAGAGCAAAGAACGTGTTCAAAACCCCACCCAGCAACAGCCTGCACTTCTTTAGGCAGCAATGGTTTTGCTTCCGGAGCTTCCTCACTCTCCCCTTTGCTCTGCAGGGACGCAGGGGATGTTGGCATGTTTATCGAGGGCAGCATGAATCTCCTCAATGCCAAAGCACAGAGAACCAGAAGGAAGAAGCTGTGTTTGTCTAACGATAAGGTGACGTACTACCTCAAGGCAGACAGTATAAAGGACATGGAGGACTTCATCGGTAGACTGACGGAGTTAAATGTCTCTGTGACTGGCAACTAGAGGAGCAGATCCTTGCGCTGAGCAGTGTATTAAGTGCTTTGTTCATTGGGAAAGTGAGGCTTGCATTCCAAAGGCTGTTTTCACTCAGAACCGCTGATTCCTCAAAGCATGGAAATGCCCAAATGTTTGAAACGGTTTCTTATTGCATAGCTGAGAAGCAAAATTTACCCATCTCCTGCTGCTTACTTGTAAGATAGAAACGGGGGGACATCAGGTGTGTAGGGAAATGGAGGATGTGCAATGCAGGAGAAGGAGCAGAAGTCTTCAGCTTAGAAAATACAACGTTCTTTGCAATGCTGATGCGAGCATTACCTTTGGAGAAGCTGCATTTGGTAATTACTGATAAATGGGAATGAATATTGGCTTCAGCTCGCACAATGCATAGGCATGGCAAAATGCAAACTGGTTACCGCTGGATTCTGAATGCTTTGTAATGTTATTTTCCACCTGCTTTTCTTAACTGACCAAGCCTTTCACGACTTAATTTTACAGATTTACATATTTACAGATTTAATTCTATTTAATTCCCTAATTTTTCAACCTTTAACACATGGAAATGTCCACAGCAGATAGTCTCTGATGTTGAAAGGCTCTTAACCAGCTTTCTTATTATAACAGCATTGCTTTATATTCATTGAGGCTTGCCCAGTCCTTGCTTTGCTTTCTTAAAGGGTAACAAAGATGAGGATGGGTAATGGATGGGAACCTGCCTGAGAGCTGATTCCCTCTCATGCCTGAGACACATAACACAGTATGGTTTTGTCGCAGTGTATTCGGTAGAGTACGCATGTGTATGGTCATGGTGCCTGTTTACGGGAATGAGGCAGGAAAACGGGTGCAGCTATTTTATGACCTTTCTACTTGGCTGCACCAGGGCGCCTGGCCAGTGCTCTCGGGATGGGCAACACTGAGATCATGAGAAACTGCACGTCCACATGAGCAAACAATGACAGAGCTGGCATAAAGCCCGTTGTGTTTCTAAGGGTATAAAAGCAGGAGCCTCTTGCAGCCAAATCCAAAACTGAGACTCCCAGCACTGGCTGCAATGGGGCTTCCCAGCTCAAGTGTGGGCCTGGAGGATGATTCGGTGGTGGCTGGTGATGTATTTCTTCTTAATCTCTGTCCTATCTATGCAGTAATGATGTGATACATTGCTAATTTTCCTCTGTACTTATATATATGTATCTCTGATTTGCTTTATTGTACTTATTTACTATATACATAGAGATATACACCTGATTTGTGCCAGTGAGCTTATTTGCTTTAGTGTGCTTGTTTAATAAACTGTGCATGTTATACAGCCAGTGTGTGGTTGTTTTGTGGTGTACCCTGCCTGTCAGCAGAACAGGATGATGGAGGGATTTTGGGGGGGAGCAATATACATTTCCTCGTGGATGTTCCACTTCAGACACGCTCTTCCCATTTCCAGGCAAACATCAGTCCCCAGGTGGTTTTGGAAATGCAGATTGCAACGTGCACTGTCCTGCTGTAGATGGCCTGAATTCCACCCATCAGATGAACAGAAATAGTGGAGTGTGGATATCAGGAGGAGAAGGAAGTGTTCAGACAGGGCAAAGTATCTTAAAGCACCGCGGAAAAGCAACACAGACACTAATGGGGTTCAAGCCTGCCATCCTCAGTGCCCAGCCCCATCTCTTGTCTTCATGGGTCTTATCTGGCGAGCTATAGGTTCTCTATAGAACCTCCTGCAGGCTGACTATAACCATGCCTAGGTCGCATGGGGCATCTCACCACGGTCGGCAGCAGAGCTCAGAAACCCCGTTGGGATCTATCGGCAAGAACCCGTCGCGGGAGGACGTGAAGCCGGAGCAGCCAGTGATAAACATCTGATCACAACGAAGTCACGCATAAACCGGGATGGAGCCATCCACACCTCCTCCCGCAGGCGGGTGAGGCTCAGCGTGAGCCTTTCCTCCCTCCAAAGGACGCGGGATGTCGCTGTGCCCCTTCGCATCAGCAGCCGAGCGCTGCGCTCCGCATCCCCTTGGGCTCTCGCTGAGCCTGAGCTCCATCACCGCTTGGGTCGGGGTCTGTCCTCCCCAAGAGCCAGCCCCACGTTCAAATGCTGGAGCCGGGAGGCTGATCAGGAGCTGCAGAGTACGAAGGAAAGAACACATATCCCTTTCAATTAGGTCTGCTCAAACCCCTGCAATGAGCCGAGCCCGGAACACTCAATTATTCCCAGCTATCAAATTCAATGGATGCTCGTCATTAAAGAGTCACCGTTTGCCCACGGCTGCCTCTGAGAGCTCTGATCACCGCTGTGTTATCATCGGGGGGTGGTGACTGGTGGTGACTTTATCCTCAGTCCATCTGTGGGGACGTCATTTGCTTGCTTTTTAAAGCTGGCCTTGTCAGAGGGTTTGGAAAATACCCCCCAGTCTGATCTATTGCGAAAATGACTTAGTGCACAATGTGGTTTGCAGCCTAGAGGAGAAAAATCAAAGCATTCCAGCCTGTTTCCTCCTTTTAAAGCCCAAACCAGCAATTTCAAATGGGCAGGAAGGCCTGAGCAAGCTGCAGTCTGGATACAGCACCTCAATGATCCCCAGGAACTCAGAGGCAATTCTCCCTTTGGTGCTGCTCATGAGGGCTTCATTGTCAACAGGTCCTGGTTCTTGAGCTGGGAAAGTGAAGGGCTGACACTTTAAGAGATGAAATACAGACTCAGCAACATAAATTGTGGGTTTATCTTATTTTTGCCGCTGGAAAAATAACCCTGATGTCCCAAAGAGAAGATCCCATTGTGTCTCTGTCTCTTGTCTTCATATAACATTGGAAGCTTTTGGCTTTTTACATAGAGAAATGAAGGTCCAAAACATATGCAATTCTTCTGCCTTTCAAGTTAGAGATGGTAACTCAGTACCTGACAAGAGATTATGGCAAACACCTTTCTTTGCTGAAGAAGCAGGCGAATACTGTTTGACTAGAACCAGAGAGTCACAGAACTCAGCTCTGCTCTGTCCTGTCTTAGCTTGATGGCACACCCAGGATCTCCTGTGTTACTGTGCCCCAAACAGCAACTGCAAATGAATCTGGATGTGTCTAACTCCTGCATTTCCTCAGTGGCACGGGAACTGAGTAACTTTAACCATTCCCTTCCATGAGATGATCAGCTTTCCGCAGCTAACGCTGTGGGGCTCTGTTTTCAGCAGAGAAAAAGCCAAT